TTGTTGGGTTCAGTGCCCCTCATCCTGTTCCCAGACATCTATTGTTTACTGTCACCTGGGTTTTGTCACCTTCCTAACAATGCCTTTTCTAGTATAGGGTTTTGATTAGAAATGTTTCAAATGCTGCAGGAAACCATTGTGCATAGCTTTAGAGCCTTAAACACTAGGGGTGCTTCACATACATGGTTTATCTACACATTGTGATTTTATAGGAGTACAGCACCTCAAGAGCTCTGTTCCCAGTTTGATTTTTTGCAAGTCTACACACTGTTTGACACTTAATTGATTGCTTTCAGAATTTTTGGGGGGAAGGGGGGGCGGGTTCTGGTTTTGTGGAGGTTTTTTAATTTTTTTTTTCTTTTCAAGACTTCTAGATAAACCAACTGTCTCAACTTACTTTATTTATATGCTGCTGCCAGCCAGCTAGGAAAATTTCAGTGTTTATGCTTCAGTGGAAATATTTCTCTGCTGCTTGTGATTTGGGAAATACCAATCCATTCCTTCTAAACACAAATTTTTGTCATCATCCTGGTTGAGGGAGCAACAAGACTTCCATCTCACCTGTAGATGGAGTAGATTTACTTGTACAGGAAAGTATATTCCTACTAAACCCAAGTTTCATCCGAAAGGATCTTTTATATTTCTTATCATGTGTTAGATATTAGGCTGGGCTTGACATTTCATATTTAGTATTGAAAGGTACCAAGCTCTACCCAAAACACAGAAAACAGTTGAAGACTATTCAAAATAATCTTAACTCTTAAGTGTTTTGAAGATAGCTCCATGATTCAGTCAGTCTTAGAGGGTACTTCCCATAGCCTATTATGAAATTTAGCTTTCAGTCATGGTCATGTGTAAAGGAGCGATTAGAGTCAGCCTACAGATTCTTTCAGTAACTCTTTTTTTGCTCTGATATGACCTTGGGCAAAGGTCATACCCTGTCAGTTTGTTTCTGAAGTAGGAAGAGACAAAATTCGTTTGCCAGTGATTTGTTATTTTGGTATACTTCTTATTGCTGCAAGCCAGTTTTTACTCTCTGTGTGTTGGGAGGGGTGGGGGTCCTAATTGAATTTTCATTTATTAAATGTTTCTTGTTGACGGTGTTAAAATAGTATATTATTGGGGCTTCCTTCAAACTTATTCTTAAGAGTGACAATCTGGCACTCCTGGCCCCTTTTAGAAAATGGGAAACGTGCTTACATTGTAATGTTACTACTTTTGAAGATAGTGTGCAAGCTTCTTGGTCACCTGTCCCTCCACCTCTCCTCTGAATTTGAGAGTTGTTAATATTGACACTGATCTTCGGCATTTACTTTATAGACACTCTGGCCTCCATTTTTATCTGGTTTACTTCTTTGGTATTTTTAAATAAATTTAATAAAAATGAATACATTTAACTTTTTGTGTCTAGCTGGGGTTTCAAAGACTCTGTTTCCTGCTTTCAGAATAACTGACTGGAATGTTCTGAGACCTCTTGGGTGAAGCAGTATCAGTAGAGTATAGTCGTCAAAATGGTCTAAAAAGTGCCTCTGAGAACTAAAACTCTAAGAACCAAGGAAAACACTGTAATCGCTGTGCCTTTGATACATGTAGAAGAGGAAGGGTTGTGTGCCAGTAGTGCCACTACTGATGGCAGTGGAAACAAACCGTTTAATGCCTGTATGCAGCATTTCATTCAGCAGTCGCCATTTTGTATGCTGTCTTTGAACAGGATTCAGTCACTCTTTAGATTGTTCAGGTACTGCCAAAAGATTGGTACAGCCCTTGGCACTCATGCTGGAGTCAGGAGACCTAAGAATGAGACTCCTGCATGATGCTTTTGTAATTGATCTTTAGTAGAGTGGGTTAAGTACTCGTTTTTCACTTCTGTCATCAGTCTTACAGGTGTGAGGGGACATGTTTTGTTCAAAATAAATTGTAAGTATTGCTTATAATTTAGTCAGTTCAGCAGGAGTAGTTGTAGAGGGCAAACCAAGAAAGATACTATCATGTTGGTTGCAAATAAGTGTATGCAAGCTGTTTGCCTACAGTAGTCCTGTTATATGGTCGTTTGGTGTACTTTTTACTTCTGGCCAATTAAACTTTTCTTGCTGCTTTCTAAAGAAATGAAGAAAAGAAAGGTGAAGCTGAAAATTGGAGCAAAGAAGTCCCAATTTTAATGTTAGTGACCACTTCAACTTAGGTTCCACCATTGGAATATTCTGACATTTGTATCTTAAGAACAGTCCATTTCATATAGTTTATTAAATCTAGATACTACCTTCCTTCCAGCACCCCAAAAAAGAAGGGATTGCCCTTAACATGTCTACTTAAAATGTGTTACAGAATGAACAGAAATGTTACCTCGGTAATTCATATACTTTTATTTCCAAGCTGAATCTTCTTTCCAGAGCATGTTCAAGACCCAGCTCTTTCTCTCCCTTATTTAGGGATATTTTGTTAATGGAGAGTTCCATTTCCAGCTGTCTGGCTTAAACCAAAAATATCAACAGCAAATGGTTGTAATCTTACTAGTGAACACCTGTAGTCTTGAACCAAATCTTGCCACCTTGTTAAATTTTGTTCTAGTTAATAAAAAGTCTATCAGTGATCTTGTCACTTATAAAGGTACATTTGCAGGGATCTTTGCTTGAAGTTCTACTGGCTGCTGTACCAGTCTTTTGGCAGTATGTGAATGATCTACAGAATGACTGTGTGTGTTCCAGGAGAGCATACCAAATGGACCTGGTGATGAATGAAACGCTAGTATAAAGGTAGAACCATGGATCTTTAGCTGTTTCCACTGCCATCAGTAGCAGCGTTACTATTATGCAGCCATTCTTCTGCCTCCAACTTGTGTCAAGGGCATAAAGATTACAGTCCAATTTATCTTTTGTTAGATTTGATTAAACTTTTTGTTGTCCTCATCCTAAAGAGAGCATTCAGAGTCCTTAACTTCTGGTGTTCTCTGAGATGAGTAACAAATAAAATGAACTCAAGCTTTGCTGTATCTGAACATGCATCACTGAAAACACTTGAAATGTTAACAAAATGAGCATGTGAATGATTCAGTAACCCATTTCAGAAAAAAATTAATGGGATGAGAGATCAACCAAACTGCTTGAACTTAAATTTCCTTCAAAAGTCATACTTTTCTCTAAGTACAGGTGTTCTGAATAAGTAATGAAACAACATTAAAATCAGTATGATAAAACCCTAATGGAGATACTGAAACAACTAACTGCAAGCTTCAAGAAAATACGTAAAATTTGTAAGCATGTAGGGAATGTTTTCCTTTCTTAAACAACATGGTGATGTCTTATTTAAACAGGTAGACATTTAGGCTGCTGACAGACTTTTAAAAAAAACCAACAACAAAACAAGCACTTTAACGGAAGAGGCATTGCATCAGTTTGACTTGGTTCCTGCAACATCTGTATAGACTGCACACTTCAAGCGAGGCATTTTGGCACTTTTATCTAGTAACCGATTCAGTCAGCTATTGCAAAACACCAAAAAGCCCCCCACCAAAGCATGTGAGCTATACAGACATTGAGTGAGCTGAGTCAAACTGATGTAGTGCCTCTTCTGGGCATGTGCCGTGCTGGGAGCAGCGGTGCACAGAGCTGAAAGTAAAGTGCTGTGTTGGGGGTGGGTTGTGGTTTTAAGTCTGTAAGCCGCCTTAATGGCAAAGAGATGCATAAAAAGTTTTGGGGGTTTTTTGGTTGGGTTTTGAGGGGGGGTGTTCTTCCCCCTGCAGATCACTATAGAGAAAGTCCACTGAGGTTTGTTGTGTACTTGCATTCAAACTGCACATAATAATAATTCAGTCACAAACCACTCCTGCATAAGCACTAGAAGTCTTCTACCTACTACTAAGGCTAGAGGTTGCATTGCTTGAGCATCTCTAGTTTTAGAAAAAAGTCCCAGCCTCCTGCCAGGAATACAGAAGACATGCTTGTCCCGTCACCAAGAATTTATCTGCTGTGGGTGAGACGGGTAGATTCATTCCTTTTTCTGATCTTCAAGATCAAGGGAACTAGCTATAATAGTTTTCTGTAATGCTTAATAGTATTGCTTTCACATTTCAATAATTGTTCAGAAATTGTAGTTCGAGCCCCTCGTTTTCATTAGTCTTTTTTTTTTGGGGAGAGGTTTTTCTGTCAGACTAGTTTGCTTTCGTGGATAAATTTTTAAACAGCTGGAATGCGTTCTTCATACGGATGCAAATGTAGAGTTGGTGAACCATAGTAATATACCGTATTGCCCTCTCTGAGAGTACTGATAAATGGCCGGAAACCACTAGGAACGCTTATTTTCCCCATATTTAGTAGCAAGATAGTTATAGGGAATTATGATAGACTTGTCAGTATCCTGCAGGTTGTGGGGTTTTTTAAATCTTTAAAGCAAACACCGAAAGCTTTTCCTGAAGCAGTCTACAGCCTAGAATCAAACACTGATGTAGTTCTGCTCTTCCATGAGTCTTTTGATTCATATGAGCTGTGTTTCTTAAGTTCTGTTTTTCATACCTGTTGATCTGAAGATGAGTTTTTGTTGTTGTTTTTATTTTTTAAACATTTCAGCCTAACAACAGTAGCTTTCCAATTTTAGTGTTATAGGGTAGAATAATGATGCCTGATCCAGTTTAGTTGCAGTGGTTCTAGTCCGTTATGAAATGACTAGCAAGGGAAGGATATGGAAAATTCTTATTTTCCTGTGTCATCTAATCTCCCTGAATGTCAGGCAGCAGACAGTAAACCATCATTCTGCATTATTAGGCCTTGGTCTTATCTGAGACCTACTATATAGCTAAACTACAGTTTTCATCAGAATAAATGTTCTTTAAAGTTTCAGATTTGCTTTAGTGCTAGAAATGAGGACTCGAACTAGGTCTACCTGGTGTTAGTTCCTTGATGCTCAGAGGTGAATAATCCTTGCCACCAGTGGGGGAAAAGCTTTTTGTGAAAGTTTTAAATAAGGATGAATAACAGTTGACTGGAATGGCTTTATTTTTATTTCAGGTTTCGACCCATAAAAGGAAGGCAGGAGGAATTGAAAGAAGTGATTGAACGTTTTAAGAAAGATGAGCACTTAGAAAAAGCCTTCAAGTCCTTGACGTCAGGTGACTGGGCCCGGCACTATTTTCTTAACAAGAACAAAATGCAGGAAAGGTTGTTCAAAGAACATGTAGGTGTATTTATAATTAATGCACGCTTTCAGATTGTTCATATGTTTTTTCACAACTTACTGTAGAACGAATAGAGCAGTCACTGAATCCAGTAACTGGTCTTTTCTCTTCCCTTGGGGCTTAATGTCAATTAAAGAGGAGTAGAGAACTTTTCCTTAAAGAAATGATGCAAGAGTGTTCTCAAAAAATACATGTAATCATAAGATCCTCTTAACTCCCAAAAGAACTTCCTAATAAATTCAGTGAAAGATTAAACCACCGCTTACTGTCGTCTTAGCTTGACTGTTGTGCCACATGAGGTATCCTTTGACATTGAGTTAATCAGGACCATGGTGGGTTATCAAAGTAAACAATTCCAAGTGGTTTTGAAGGACAAAATAAGACTCTAGGGTAATATGTACAGATGTACAGTTAAAATATCATCTTGAATGTCCACAAATTTAAATGCACTAAATATAGTAAAGCAATATTGATTTCAAAGATGAATATAATAATGGCGGTTTTTTTAAGTAATCAACTTTCAACATTTTATGGAAGAAATTTTTGTGACTTTTCTTCCACATTTAATACAGCAGAGTTTTTTTTTTGTTGTTGTTTTGTTTTTGTTTGTTTGCTCTCTCCCACCCCCCATTGCAGGTATTTATTTATTTACGAATGTTTGCAACTGACAGTGGATTTGAGATTTTACCTTGCAATCGATATTCTTCAGAGCAAAATGGAGCCAAGATTGTTGCAACAAAAGAGTGGCAAGTATTGTAATTAGCAATTAGGAAAATCATACCTAATTATTTTTTTTAAAAGGGGAGGAGGGTGATAAAATTCTTTGTAAATGTGACAGCTATAGAATTAAAATTGCAAGCAACTGAAGATTGGTAAATTGAGGTTTGTAATTGATGTTTCAGGGTGGGCACATGCACGCACGTGTGTGTGTGACCAGTCAGTTGTTGCATAATAAATTCCATATACTTGCACCCATCCTCGTCTTACATAGGAGCAAGGGGAAGGTAGGCAACTATGACCACTCTCCAGTTCCTCGTGACTGCCAAGGTCCAGCAAGCACTTGGTGTCTTCCTTTGTTGTATATTGTGTGGTGGGTTTTTAACTCATTTTCCATGTCTTTGGGAGTTTTCTTGGGTAGTCATTACAGACATCACCCAAATGTGTAAACAGCAGGAGACTTGCTTTAAATCTCTACTCATTATAGAACAGGATTTCAGACCCAAGACTGTTAAAGTGCTAAGCAATATCTACTTTGGGACACTTCTCTGCTTCACAACTTTGGTTTCTAGACTGGCTGTGTCTTGTGTATATGGAGTCAGATTCAGATTGACAGAATGTAATTTGAGAGAATCTGAAACTCCACTCAAAAGAACAGCTTGCCAATGGGAATGTCTAGCATAATAGGATTGAAACCCTGATGGAGTCTTGTTACAGACCTGGCATGCCTACATTTAAAGGAAACTAGTAACTGAGGGTTTGTAGAACAGCTATGGTGGGCATAAAGGCATTGGGATTTGCTATTTTAAAGGCATCTGATGGCCCACATGGCCTCAGACTCACCTTCAGCTCCCCATACTGCCACACTGCCCTGCCCTTTGGGGTGAAGGCAGGGAGTGGCAGCTAGAGCAGGGAGGGAGGAACCTGAAGACTGGCTGCTATTGCAGCTGGAGCTGTAGGGTGCAGGAGGGGAAGGGGAGCAGTGGGTAGGTGAAAACCCAAGGGCCACCCTTTAAACCTGTGAGAGTTTGGGGTCTGATACTTGAAGGTTCTGGGTTTCATTCCAGTCATTTGAGCATGCTTCTCTTTCAAAGAGCCTTACCTCTGAAGATCTACTTATCACAGGGGTACAGAGATGGTATTGGCATTCTTCCCATGTGAGTCAAAGGAAAGCTTCTTGGTGCTGTGTCCTAAACAGGCACAAGACTCCCAACTCAACTCCAAATGCAGGAAGCTGTGATTGTTCTAGCCAGTGGACGAGGTGGATGAAGGAGAAGCACAGAACTGATAGGTTTCCCCATTTCTACATGATATCATTAAAGGGGGGAGATAATGGGACCTCAGCTTCCAGTGTATCTCTGTGTAGGAGCTCTTCAGTGTTGGGTAGGAAGATAGAAACACATGAAACTTTGTCATTGGCATCCTTGTCCTTGATGGCTGTGGAAGCTCCAACAGTTGACCATTTTGCTGCTGCTGTTTTTGACCTCAGGAAAGAGTTTATTTTTCTATCTCCAAAATAGTGCAGTGGGTTCAGTGCCTCCTTTCTTTAACCTGACAAAGGATCTTTTCCCATAACTCTACTCCACGCTTTGACACCAGAACCTTTCCTGCGGTAGTCTAAAGCTGTCTTCTGTCAATTGCACACGTGTGTTCAGAATAACAAGCACGTAAGTTTAGACAGAAACGCACACACAGCTCTGTGCATTTAAAATATTCTGAGGATCCAAAATAAGGACCTAGATGCCCTTGCTGAACAAGGCACTTAAATCCCCCCATGTTTAGCAAAAGCTAAGCACCTTGTTAGGTGTTTAGGAGTATAACCTTTTAAATGTGAACTAAAATGCATGTAACTTAAGTACATGCAGAGAAAGTTCCAAAATTAACAAATTCCGTGGTTATCTTTTCAACATTACAGCTTTACTAATATATTTTTAAATGCTTTCTTGTGATTTCAGTTGTAGGGGTTGAATTGAAAACTCCAGGCTTTTGTCATGGAAAAGCTGACTTTATTAATGTGTAAAAGCTGACCTTATTAATGTGTAAGGGAGCAACTTTCATAGGAGGTGCACAGGCATCTAGACTAAATTCTTTGACAAAAGTTTGGTCTATCTTAAATAATTACAATTTTAATTTTTAATGCCATTAGTGCTTTCTTTTAGCTGATTTAAGACTTTATGGTCTTTTAGCATTTCTCATTGTGTAGAAATTTTATTTTTTGGTAAGAAAGTTGTTTACTTGCAATATTTTGTCACTTTTAGAATAATTATCTTTATCTTTTAACATTTAGGAAGCGAAATGACAAGATAGAATTATTAGTGGGCTGTATTGCTGAACTGTCAGAAATGGAAGAGAACATGTTGCTCCGACATGGAGAGAATGACTTCAGCGTCATGTATTCTACACGGAAAAACTGTGCTCAGCTATGGCTTGGTCCTGCTGCATTTATCAACCATGGTAAGTAACAAGCCGTAAAAAGCATCAGGTAATAGAAGCAATTCTGTTTTAAATTCTCTTGTGTGTAAGGGATGCCTCAAAGTAGCAATGTTGCTTAGATTCATTCTGAATTTTGGATCTTAAATATAATTAGCATGATTTGAAGTACGGTATTGGTTTTAGGGCCTAAATCTTGGTCAGTTTCCAGTTCAGAGCTGCTGGGCTGTGCACTGGAAGCCAATTAGAAGCTGTGAGGAGGGCTGTCTTCTCCTTTCAAACATGGACAAGAAAATGATCTGAGAATCAGTAAAACAGCAGATTTGGGCCCTACTACATGACACTTGTACAAAAATTTCCCCTGGCCTGAGCTCTAGCCTTTAAGGAACATGGTTCCTAGGTGAACTACTTGCAGTGTTCCTTGCTCATTGCTTAGACAGACAAACTTCACTGATTCTGTTGCGTTTTGTACCTACAGGGGAAAAAGCAAAACTTTCCTTGGCTTGTCATTTTTTAAAGGAAAAATAATAGAATGTGTTACAGAAACAAAACTGAGAAGCTGAGATTTGTTAAAATGATTCAAGATGCCCACTCTTGATACAGAAAATTCTTGTTTAATACAATGCCCTTAAGTATTTTAGTTGAGATTCTAGCAGTTCTTGAAGTCAGAGTGAAACCTTACTTTAGATGTCTATAACTATTCATGTTTCAGGTCTTATCAACAGTTAATTGACTTTATCTTTTGGACCTTTTTCAGATTGCAGACCTAACTGTAAGGTAAGCATTAAAAAAAAAAACCCCACACATACAGAATACCCTCCCCACCATAATGTCAACTTGTTTTATTCACAAATGCTAGCTAACATTAGTGATTACTACTTTTGTTTCAGTTTGTATCAACTGGCCGTGATACAGCATGTGTGAAAGCTCTAAGAGATATTGAACCTGGAGAAGAAATCTCTTGTTACTACGGGGATGGCTTCTTTGGAGAGAATAATGAATACTGCGAATGTTACACGTGTGAAAGGTTTGTGCTATTGAAAGACATGGTATATTGGATGATGACGTGATATATTGCAAAGCTGAAGGTTCACTCACTGTCTTTGGCTGTCCAAGAATTGTAGATAACATAATAATAATCATCACATATTTTTTTTTTTTGCATTTTTTTAAAGGATTTTTAAAATGGCCTATATTTTGCTAAGTTAGAACAATGTAGACATCAGATCTTTATAAAATACAAAGATTTGCAGGGGTAAGGGGGGGGGCAAAGAATGGTAGAAACACCTGGCCATCTAAGGCTCCACCGCTCAGCTGTGAACTTTGTTGCCTTCATTTCCAAAGAAATCATTGATCCAATTCCTACCCATCCCCCACAGTGTTCCCTCTCTTCCACTGGCTTTGATCTTTCTTGTTCATGTGCCCCTCTTTAATGAAAACGGGAGTAGTAGTTCTCAGTCTTTATAGTTGTTAGAATTTATGCATTTTAGATGCAGATGGCTGCTGTTGTGGACAGTACTGGCTCAGTCCTGTCATTTTGCAGTAATAGGGGCAAATTCATCCATAGTTTTTCTACTGAGCTGTTTCACTGCCTCAACCTAGAAAATTTCACAATTTCTCGTGTCTTTATTCCAGGGAATTTTTGTTTTGAAGTACCTGTTCTCAACATAAGTGTATAGCTCTCATCCCTTCCTGGGGGCACCACCCAGGTATTATCATTGGGTCTTCTGTAGTGTGTTCAGAAATGTGAAGATTCAGTTCTTGTTGCACTAGCTGTAAGGGAAGAAAGTTGCAGAAAATAAAATAGTCCATTACTCATTTAAGAAGTGGTTTAGTGCCACTTGCTTAAATAGTATAAGAATTTTATCTTCCTTTTTATAAGATGTTGTCATTATGCAATTCAAGAGAAACACTGCTTGTTTGTGTCACTGGCAGTTTTGCCATGCTGTTGTTACCCAGCCTGGTGTTATGTGGGTAGGCCAATTTGAAGGAAGAGGGAATTTACATAAACATGACTTGTAGATGATGCATTAGCAAAAATGTTTTTACTTCCTTGTAGCTAGAACATACAGTATATGCACAGATAGCAAAATTAGCTTGTGTTACCTGTTCCTTCCAACACTGACATCCAAGCTGGTGGAGATTGCTGTATAAGAAAGGGAGGACCAGTTTCCTTCCCTGTAACTCTTGTCATGCTACTGACATCCCTTGTCTTGGTACAGACTTCATTTATAGGCAGGCATTTTTGATGATAACTGAAGATCTTTAAACCTAGAAGTTTTATGTTCCCATCCTCAGTGTGTTAATGCTTTTACACAATTTTAGCTTTTGGAAGTCATCTTGCATGGTCACCCAGGGGGTGGTGCAACAGGTTTCAGAGGAAGTTTGAAGTTAAAATACAAATGGCTTGAACTGCTCACTTGCTTCTGTTTCTAAAATAGTAGTGATAAATGAGACCAACAGAGGTCTTGTTTTGAGAAACAAAGCATGCAGCCAGACTAACTGCCCTTTTGTATGCCAGCAGAATTCATTCTTAGGAAGGCATATGTACATTTACAGCTTCCAGGGTTAACTTTTCAAAACTAAAATAATAGATTTTTAAAAGCTTCGTTTTGACCATACTATTGGAAAGACCATACTGATCTCTCAAAGCCAACTAAAATCTTTACCTACGTGCATGTACAAACATGCATGCTATTATGTGTATTTCTCCATGTGTATATGCAAGAACGAACACCATATTGGGTTGTGTGTGTACATTTTATTAGATAGCATGTGTGTCATTTTTAGGTATGCTCTTGACATATTTGGGGAACCAGTATATTGTTAGTTGTGCTGTGTGAATCCATTTTAACCTAATACTTAATTTTCAAAACGGTGAGTATGACGTTCTAAAAGATTAAAGGTTTGAAAAGGCTGGGGAAATTTGGCTTCCTTCTCAGCTTTTTGCAAAGGTGCGATCAAGTTGGTTTAGGCAAACAACCTAAAACACTACTAAATCTATCTGAACTCAGGTGTAGTTTATCCATGCTCTTGATTGGCTGTGCTTCATCCCTTTACTCTCCTGTCTGGTTAAGAATGGAGCTGTGGTCAGTCTTCTTTTAATTCTGTATGCGAGCAGAAAATGGAACTAGTCTCTGCTCTGTCCCTTCTTTGCTGGTTAGAGGAAATCAAGCTCCAGGAAGAAGAGGCCCCCAGGTGTTTTCAAAAGCAGGGAATAGAGATGCTTGTAATTTGAGGCACAATTCCCCCCTGAGGTAAAGCCAGTTACCCTTTCGTCTAGGTACAGCCTGATACCTCCGTCTGGCTCCCAATAATTTGCAGAACTTAAAAGAAGAAAAAAAAGCCACTACATAATTCATATCAAACTACTACTTGTTAATTTTCAGGGAAAGTTAGGTTGGCATGGTGATGGTCAGCAGTACAGTGTACGAGAGGATTTATATTGGTCTCATCATCTCTCTTCCACTCTAACTCTGTTTCAAGGATTTTTTTTCCTTTAGTACACTAGAACCTCAAGTAGATTGTCCTTTTTACTTTGAAAACCAACCCCTCTGAGCAATTGAAGGTACCAGGAATCTGTCGTCTTCTGCACAAATAGTCGTGGTGACTTAGAACTGAAAAGAGAAAAGAGAAGAGGAAGTCTTAAGACTTGATGAATCTTCATCTGTTTCCATTTTCTCTGGGGAAGTAAAGATGCTGGCCCATGAGTACGGGGTTGATAATAAATTAGTTAAACCTTGATCCATCCAAAGAAAAGTATGCAGGTAAAAGGGTAGTTATACCATTACTGTCTACTTTGGCTGTTGGTATTAAATGTAGAGGTAGGCAGGGTGGAGCAAATGCAGTAATTGTTGTTAGGCAGGCACTTCTTTGAGTAGATGTGATATCTTTTATTAGGCCAACTGAGTAGTTGGAAAAAACTTCTTAGCAAGCTTTTAGGTGCAGTCACCCTTCTTCAGGCACAGGGAGTTTCTGTTTGCTAAGAACTTTTTTCCAACTACTCAGTTAATTTAATAAAAGATACCACATCTACTCAAAGAACCTTGCCTGCCTATGTCCTTAGACCAACATTGCTAAACCAAAAACCCAATAATTGGTGTAAGCAGCTCTTACAATGAGGCAAATGTGGGAAGAAATAATGGTTAATTTCTTGTTGAAGTCTTAAGCAACAGAATTCATATCAGATGTCCTTTGAAGTACTGTACTGAATTTTCATTCCAGGCAAATTGAATTATGAAAATAATAGTAAAACAAGAGGCAAGAATTTTTGTAGGTGATATCTTTTTATTGGACAATCTGCATGGTTGGGATAGCCTTAGACAAGCTTTTGAATATAGTGCTGCCTCCTTCAAGTCTGAGGGGAGGAAAAAAAACATGCAGTTGATTCAATAGAAGATGCCACCTGCAAAAATTCCTCATTTATTGGACCATAAAATTTACAACTTTATTCCAACACTCCCAGACCAAGACAAGTTTATTTTAGCTCATCCCCTGTTTACAGAAAAGGGGAAAGTAATTGCAAAAGACAAGAATCAATTTTCAGTAATTCAGGGACCGTTTTCTCTATCCCTAATTAGAAATGAAATACGCATTTAAATCCCCTACCTTATCAATACCTGAACTGCCTGCAAAACCTTAAACTAAGGTAATACAATTGTTTTAAGAAGGTCGTCTGAATATAGCTATGATTGTAATGATGTATATACTATCAAACAACTGTATGATTATACTGAGAATTGTTGATATGTGATATTTTCTTTTATAGACGTGGAACCGGTGCTTTTAAATCAAGAGTGGGCCTGCCAGCACCTACTCCTGTGATCAATAGCAAATATGGACTGAGAGAAACGGATAAACGTTTAAACAGGCTTAAAAAGTTGGGTGACAGCAGCAAAAACTCAGACAGCCAATCTGTCGGCTCTAACACTGATGCAGATACCACTCAGGAAAAAGCTAATGCAAGTAAGCAAAGGGAAGCTGTTTTTTATGGGGTTTGTTTTCATGAGAAAATTCTCTTTAAACATGTGTGATGTTGATGAGTCTCATAATGAACAGCCCACAACTTATTTCGTCCAAGAAACTGTAAGTTCAGTTTTTTCCTAACAACAAAAAATACAGAAACAATGAAAGAAAAAAAATAAAGAAAAACTTACCTTGTATTGCATATTTTCCATATGAATCCTGTTTCTAAGCAATACCGACAAAATGTCTAGATTGGAGTGGGTGTACATGTTTTGAAATTTGAGTAAACGTATAAAAAATACAATTTAGGAGATAAGAGTTATTCCTAAACAGTAAACTTCAGGGAGGTAAAGGAATTGATGTTGTATAGGAAAAATGGGATTCAGATAAATAAACTTGGTATATGTTAAATAAGGAAGTTGTTGTTTTCTTTAGACAGTTGTTCAACAAGTGGGCATTTATATTCCTTGCTATTGTCAGTAAGGTGAAAGTTGATCAGTTCAGTTATAGTCCAAAATGAATGTTGACAGCTGGTCATCTTAAAAGAAATTCAAAGGGATTTTTATTCAGTGATTGACTGGGTTTTGTAGTCATGCAACTTTGAGATATCTACCTTTTTTCTTTTAAGGCAAGACATAAATGACTCTAATTATGTTTGCCTTGTCAAGGCAGACTTCAAACTGCTTAATGCACTAGGTTTCTCTAGCTTCTATTTGCTGCTGTGATTTCATGCTGGCACTATTTCCATTCCCTGTGTTTAAAAAAAAAAAAAAAGAGTCAAAATGCAAAGGAAAAGCAGCAAATGTGCTAACTTAAAAAACAGCTCTGCAGCCCACCATCAAAGTAGTTTAGAAATGTGGCTTTCCTTGGGCGGATTAGCTTCCCTATGCACTCTTCTGTGTAAGGGGCTTGACAAGGAGAGCAGGAGCCAAACCATTAGACGAAAAAATAGTCTCATCCCCTTCCCCAGCACAAGTGTGGCAGAAGACCAGAGCTCTGATCCTCAGCTGTGCTTGAAAAATGTACAGCAGAATTTGAGGATGAGGTGGAAAGCTTGCTACATGCAAATTACCAAGAAACAGGCTTTAAGTGTAGGCTCTCCAAAACTTGAAGTTTAAATGTAATTTTGGGCACTGTTAGGCAATACCATATGGGCCAGAGTTGTGAGCTAGCAGTTTTTTCCATTTGATTAAAAATCATAATGTAACACAGTGCAAAAATATGACTTCTGCAAATTTCCATGAAAAGCAAGATCATAAAGATGGTTGAAGTACCTGGTAAAAAGCCAGGTTAAATTAACATGTCCTAACACACTTTTTTTTTTTTTTCAACAGCTAACCGAAAATCTTCAATTGGTGTAAAAAAGAACAGCAAGAGTAGAGCATTAACAAGACAGTCGATGTCCAGAATTCCAGCTTCATCAAATTCTACCTCATCTAAACTAACTCATATAAATAATTCCAGGGTACCAAAGAGACTGAAAAAGCCTGCAAAGCCTTTACTTTCAAAAATAAAGTTGAGAAATCAGTGTAAAAGGCCAGAGCAAAAGAATGCCTCAAGAAAACTCGAAATGGGAAACTTAGTTCTCAAAGAGCCTAAAGTAGTTCTATATAAAAACTTACCCATTAGAAAGGATAAAGAAACTGAGGGACCAGTAAAAGTTGCAGTCTCTAGTGGATGTTTAACAAGACATGCAGCAAGAGAATACAAACTAAATTCTGTGAAAGGTGCTCATGAGCATGGTGAAATATCACCTTGCACATATATAACCAGGAGGTCAATGAGAACAAGGATGAATTTGAAGGAGACCTCTGACCTACAGCTTGAACCAAATATGTTGGATGGGTATAAAAATAACTTGACTGGGACACGATCAGATAGTTTAGAGCAGCAGTCTCATGTGATTCATGAAAATGACCTGGCTCATGGAATATCACATAAAGGGGAGGGGAGGTGCCAGAAGACTGATGTGGGAATGTCCAAAAAGAAATCGCGACAAGGAAAACTTATGAAATCCTCTACAAAAATGGAAGAAACTGATCTTACATACAATGTACCTGGCAAAGATGAAGTACCAGATTTGATCAGTTCTCATCCAGAACCTGGAGAGAGGAGTAATGTAGTGGACACGCCTGTTGGCTATAAAGACTGTATTTCTGGGTCTGGTGGGTGCTCTGTTACATCTGACAATTTTAAAGCAAAGGATGGCTTTAGAACTGCAAAAAGTAAAAAGAAAAGACGAATCACTAGGTATGATGCACAATTAATCCTTGAAAATAGCTCTGGGATTCCCAAACTGACTCTTCGTAGGCGCCATGATAGCAGCAGCAAGGCAAATGACCAAGAAAACGATGGAATGAATTCTTCAAAGATAAGCATCAAATTAAGTAAAGACCATGAAAAAGATAATAATTTATATGTAGCAAAGTTAAATAATGGATTTAACTCAGGATCAGGCAATAGTTCAACAAAATTAAAGATACAGCTAAAACGAGAGGATGAGAACCGAGGGGCATACTCTGAGGACCTTCATGAAAATGGCATGTGTTGTAGTGATACACTCTCTCTCTTGGGGTCAAGAATGGAAGTGGATGATTATGGTCAATACGAGGAGGAAACAGCAGATGAATCCTCCTCAGAAGAGGATGATGAAGATGAGGATGACTATGATGATGAATTTGAAGATGATTTTATTCCTCTTCCTCCAGCTAAGCGTTTAAGGCTCATAGTTGGCAAGGATTCAATAGACATTGACATTTCTTCCAGAAGGAGAGAAGATCAGTCATTGAGGCTAAATGCATAAGCTTACAGGTCTTAAACTGACCAGGATGTCCATTTTTAAACAAAAAAAATAATTCCATTCAATTATTCCTCAACTGAAGAACTTTCTGAAAATTTTAGTGGCAGCACTTCTTTATTGTTTAGTCACTTATCAACATAATATTGTAGAAAGTGTACAGCATACTGACTCTTCTTAAGTCTGATTTGTGCAGATTTTTATTGTACTTTTTAATAGCCTTCTTATGTGCAATTCTGAGTTAGAGTAAGAGGTAATGCTCTGTTGTAAAATAAAGGCTCAAGCAAAATTTAAAAAGTGACATCAAAACTTTCCATGCAGGACAATGAGAACAGAATAATGTGGCTACACAATTATTTTTAACCTGTTTAAGAGCATTTGTTTGCTCTTACAATATCTGACTAAACAATAATTAAAAAAAAAATCATAGTAGCAGCATATTAAGGTTTTCTAGTATATGTTAATATCACCAGCAATGATCTACAGCTATTCAATTTATTTGCTAGATGTTTTTTCCCCTCTTGGAGTTTGTCAGTTTTAACACTGTATGCTGTCCCAGACGTACTGTTTGTGGCCTTTGTTATAGTAGCAAACCGTTGGTTGGAAGTCAAATTGATTTCTTTTAAAAAAAAACAAAACAAAAACAAAAAAACAAAAAAAAACAAAAAAATTAAAAGGTGTTGACAGTTTGCTGACTTTCTAGTACATTATATGTACCAGGGTAGCAGTATGCAGAATACAAGTTTGGATATGGTGTATTTATTGCTTGTTATGTAAATTAAACACCTTGTATTTAACACTTTTCAATACTTTTAGATAAAATTGTTCTTTGCAAGAATGATTGGTGCTTATTTTTTCAAGAATTTGCTGTGAAACAATGTGATTACAACAGGCAACATTTATCCAATGAACTGCAGCTATCCTGAATTGGTTCTACATAGTTTTCTGTTGCACTTGTAAAATGCTACAAGGAATTTAAAGAAATCTATTCACTTTAACTTATGATAGTTTTATGAAATTAAAAAAAAATCTAAGTCACAGCTTTTGTTCTGTGGTAACCTATAAAAATGTTTGTCTTTTGAGATCCAGTGTAAAGGACTGAAAAAATATGTATATGTTGTAAATATTTGTGTGTTGTGAGAAATTTTGTCATAAGAAATTGAGATAACTTACCAGAAGGGTTTTTAAGTTTAGAAATACATTCATGCCAATAAAATAGGAAATTATAAACCTAGTTTTAAACTCTGCATCGGTGGGAGTTTTGTGCTTTTATTTAGTTGTATATTCAGGATTTCAGAGTCTGCAGGACATGTTCAACAACAAAGCATCGTCAGTGAAGAGCTTCAGGACTGGTTTGTTTTTGCTTTAATAAATGTGCTAGGGACAGGAGTAGGTTGGAAATTTTTTTTCTTTTAGTTTATTTATTAAAGTTAGCAGATAAGCCACTTATTTTAACAGGCAGGTCTCTTCTCAGTTTTTGTGGCAAATTTCTCTGTGAAATTATTGTACACAGTATGCAAATTTTTATTTACATCATGGATGAACTTTCAGAAAAGTGGCTTTCTCATCTAGAGACGCCAAGTGAAAATCAGAATAAATTAACAAGTATGTGTAATCTATGTAGCAGAACTGGACTGGGTAACTTTTTAGTATTTGTACACAGTAATATTGGCCCAGAGGAGCCAAGCACAGGACTACAGGATGGCTGCAGATAACATGTTGAACTGTTAGTGAAATTGGATAGGGAGATCTGCATGGTAGGTAATAATTCTGTACCTGGTTTTAACAATTTCTTGCCTTCATGAAAACTATAAAGCTTTCTCAGGATAACCCTTCAAAATTAGGTTGGAGTTCTTTGTTGAAACTTTTTTTTTTTTAAAAAACACAAAAAACCTGTAGGATCTCTTTTTCTGTTTTGTTTCTCCTTCTTTATCATCAGTGGAACATTGAACAGGCCCAGAGAGAAAACACACGCAAATAGGGCTGGAGGCAGAAGTGTATACATCCCTCCTTGCCATGTTTTAAAATGTCCACACTCCATTAAAAAGATACTACACTGAAAGCTCAACTCAGTGAAATAGATACTAAAATCATGGATGAGGGAATGCCTATATTAGGCTCTGCTGTTTGATTAGGTCCTGCCTTGTTGAAGAGAATGGGGATCTTTGTTGTTGCAAACTGCATAGTAGGGGTGTGCAAAGTGGGCCATATTGGAGTTGGATTCGGCCTGAATCGGGGACGGTGATTCGATTTGTTGATTCAGATCACGGTTGCCATTTGATTCGGCCTAATCCAAATCTGAAGATTTGATGCTGATTTGGAGAATTAGCGATTCAGCCATAGACACAGCTTTAAATGTTTTTTCTGCATACCTTGAGGTACCAGGTATGGCTCGTAAATGCTGTGATGCTGAGGCAGATGAAGCATCCCACAGGACTGCAGAACCCCCTGCCCCCCAACACTCGGCGGCAACCCTGGAAGTCAGCCAGAAGTACTTCTGGTCCACTTCCAGGTCTGCTGCTGAGCACACTGGGTGCATGCACACATACATACACACACACACTCTCTGCCCCCCGGCTTGGTGATTGGCTGCGGGGGACACCGGGTGCCCCCCTGAAACCCAGGAGGCACCAGTTGCCAAGCCAGGGGGATGTGGGGGGTGCCCACTGCCCGTTGGACCCAGAAGTGGACTGGAAGTGCTTCTGGTCCACTTCCGGGTCTGCTGCCAAGCATGCTGGTAAGCTCCTGTGGGATGCTCCATCCACCCCAGCATTGCAGCATTCACGAGCTGCCTGGTACCTTGAGGTATGTAGAAAAAACATTTAAAGCTGTGTCTACGTCCAAGTCATCAGATCTCTCTGAATCAATTTGGAGGGTTCCAGTTCAATTCTGAGAGACTAAAAGGTCTCCTGATTTGGTTTGGATTTGGAGATTCAGCTACCGAATCGAGCCGAATCTTTGCCAAATGAAATCAGTGACAGAAGCTTCACATAGCCCTACTGCATAGTAAACAAGTGTGCTTCTATGTCTTTGACTTAAGTGTTAGGTGCAGTAAACTATATATTGGGTCAGCAACCCCTGGCACGCATGCTGAGCATGGCATGCAAGGCCATTTTGCTTGGCACACCACCGCCAGCCCAAACTCTAAGCAGCTGCTACCAGCCATGGAGCCCAGGCTGCTCCCAGCAGGCGGCTGGGAGGCTGCAAGCAGACTCGGCTCCTTTGGCTGGCTGCAGCCAGGAGGCTGCAAACAGCTGCTCTGGGCTCCGGCATGTTGGCACTCCAGCACTTTCCAAGATAGATGTGGTTTTTTCAGCACTCCGGCCAAAAACATTGCCTACCCCTGCTATATATGATTTTGCATGTTATATTTAAAAAGGTAGCCACTTCAGCAGAATGCATTTACTTCTAATTTCCTTTTGCAGGTGTGACCTGTCCTCATAATATCCACAAAAAAATTTGGCACTGAAATTAGGCATTCTCTGTGCCAGCATTTGGTGCACTACCTCATGGCAGCCTTTGGAGCCTGTAGTGTGATATCAGCACTTCTGTCTGAGAACTGGGAGAACTTCAGTCCCCATAGTTCACCTTTGTAATGTACTCTTTTGCCTCAGTTTCCATTTCTGCTCTTTTTCTATCAGTGATATAGAGGGCTCTTTTCTTCTTTAGAGACAGGATAATTACTGTGAAAAAGTACAACTACCAACATGGCAGTTGGCCATACAAAAAGAAACCAAGAATATCAGAAGTGGAGGACATAGGCAGTCGCCGTTATCATTACCAACAGCATACAAGAGTAATGGTTCTGAGGCTGTGAAATGTGTTCCAAGTGGTAGGATCAGATTGTGGTGCAAATGTTGGATGGTGACCAATGCATTCAGATCCTTAAGATGTGGGCAGTCTCTTCCCTAAAGTTTGAATGCTGAACTTGCTTTATAGACACCCCAGAATGAGAGCTGTTTTACCAGTGCACAAAAATAAGTAACCAAAGCTCTGTGTTGCTTGTCAGTTAGTGAATGCTTCTTTTTAGGTATGCCAAGGGCACTATGTTTTGCTGCACAGGATTGTGATGGTGTACACTGCCTAGTAATTATATTTAATGTATATAGATTCCCTTTACTGTACAATGGAAAATGGGAGGGACCAGAGGATTCCAACCCTCGCTTTCCCCATAGTAGTTAAAAGGAAGGATGCAGTTAAACTTGCATTACTGGCTCACCATAGCTGTTGCTGGCATTATTAGTGGTCAGGGAAGGTATATGTTGCTTGTATAATGCGAGTTATTGACAAGCCGCAAACTGGAACAGCTTTTCCTAGATTGGCATGTTGACGTAGTTGGGTTGTAGTGTTCACGGTGATTCTCAGATCTAATCTAGCCTTTGCTTTCCTGGAGATTTGAAGTTGGGGCACCTGAGCTTCAGCAAGGAAAAAGTTAACTATCCTTTGAGCAGGTGCAGGGTAGCTGTGGAGTAGACTTTTGCTAGCTTAAAAAAATGGTAGAAATAGGGCTTTTTGGGTAGGCTCTGCCTGTGTCATCTAAATATTCTTGTTGCTGCATATTCTGTGATTTTTGCATAACATCTGTGAGGCCAAAAGGGGAATCTTACTGTTGCCACATAAGAGGTGGGCAGGTTCTCTGGGGTGCTTTTTGAGCAACCTGACACAAGGCCAAATAGCAGCACCCATTGAAGTGCTGTGTGGGGTAAGGAAAGCTTTAACAGGACACTTTAATGGTTTGTGGTAGCCAGATAGCTACTGCACAGGCAACATAAAATAATGCTGTCTGGCTTATAAATTATTTTGGATGAGAGAAGCTATTTATTTTGGGAATGTTGTATCCCTGAATTTAAGACAAAATTGTAGGTTTTGCAAGACAGCATTGTATGCAATAATATACTGAAAGAATCATGAAATAGGTATACGATGTGTAGGGGACATTTTTCAAACCCTCCAGCAGGTAAGGGACCAGAGTAACCTTAAGGATAGCATAGTGTTTAAACTATAGAGTCTTGGACAAACTACTGGGGAGAAGTATAAGAACATTGCTTAGGCATGCAGAGATGAAATTGGGGAAGGCCAAGATGAAATGGGAGTTGCATCTAGCAAGGAATGTGAAGGCTGACAAAAAAGGTTTCTACAATGTGTCAGCAACAAGAGGAACCTCAGGGAATGTGTGGGTCCCTTATTGAATGGGGGAGGCAACCTACTGACAGATGATATAGAAGAGCCTGAAGAACTCAATGCTTTCTTCACTGGCAAGGTCAGCTAACCAGACTACTGTACCCGGCAGTACACTGTGGGAAGAAGGCAAGCATCTGACAGTGGCAAAAGAACAGGTTTAGAACCATTTAAAAAAGCTGGACATGTACAAGTCCATGGGGCTGGGCATGCACCCGAGTGTGCTGAGAGAGTTGGCTGATGTGATTTGCAGAGCCACTGGCCATTATCTTTGAAAATTAGTGACAATTGGGAGAGGTCCTGGACAATTGGAAAAGGGCAAATATAGTGCTGATCTTTAAGAAAAGGAAGGAAGTGGATCCAGGGAACTACAGACCAGTCAGCCTCACCTCAGTCCCTGGAGAAGGTGGTGATTAGGAACCGTCAGCATGGACTCACCAAGGGCAAGTCATGCCTGACCAACCTGATTGCCTTCTATGATGAGATGACGGGTTCTGTGGATATGGGGAGAGCAGTAGATGTGATATACCTTGACTTTAGCAAGGCTTTTCATATGGTTTCCCACAACATTCTTTCAAGCAAGCTAAGGAAGTACAGGCTGGATGAATGAGCTGTTTGATGGATAGAAAACTGGATGGATCACTGGACTCTAGTAATCAATGGCTTGATGTCTACCTGGTAGCTGCTATCAAGTGAAGTACCCCAGGGGTCAGTCCTGGTGTTGGTTCTGTTCAATATCTTCATAAACAGTCTGGAAGATGGGATGGAGTGCACCCTCACCAAGTTTGTAGATGACAGTAAGCTGTGGTGGAGCAGTAGATACACTGGAGGGTAGAGCTAAGGTTCTGAGACCCCTTGACATGTTGGAGGATTGGACCAAAAGAAATCTCATGAAGTTCAACAAGGACAAGTGCAAAGTCTTGCACTTAGGATGGAACTACCCTGTGC